GGGAAGGAATGGGGATTTTGAGGGGGCATGGGAAGGCCACTACCCCAGGCCCAGCATTTCCCTCCCACAGGTCAAGGAGCTGGGCGTGGTCATGTACAACTGCAGTTGTCTAGCCCAAGACCTGACCAAGATCTTCGAGGCCTACTGGTACCTGGGCCAGGAGGGCAGCTCCATCCCGTCAACCTGGCCCCAGTCCTATGACACCCTCTACAATCAAAAGACACCAATGGAGATCTGCCTCAACGGGACCCCTGCTCTGGCCTACCTGGCGGTGAGTCTGAAGGAAGAGTGGCCTCTCACACCCTGGCCACATGCCCTCACACACGGCCTCCATCCAGCCCTGCCCAGGGATTGGTGGGGAGGGGGTCCGGACCACTAGCCCTCACTCCTGCTCAATCTACTTAGTCAGGGGCCTGGGCTGTATCCCAACCTCACTAGGCCTCAGATTTATCTAGAAAATGTTTACAACCTCTTAGGGCTTACATGGACCCAGCTATACCTCCCCATTAGCCCTAAATCCAGCTGAAAATTCGGTTCCTCAGTCACACTAGCCACATTCCAAGTGCTCAGTGGCCACATGGAGCAAGCAGCCACCTCAGGACAGTGCAGGTACAGAAACATTCCCATCGCTGCAGTTCTGTGGACAGCGCCGGCTGTCTCTGTGGCAGATGCTGAGCACTCTAGACAAGGCACTGCTGTTGTGGAGTTTGTTTTGTTAATTCTCATACAAGGATATTTTTCCATTGATTTTTTTTAGAGAGAGTGGAAGGGAGAGGGAGAGACAAAGAGAGAGACACATCGATGTGAGAGAGACACACCGATTGGTTGCCTCCTGTACACTAGGGATTGAGCCTGCAACCGAGGTACGTGCCCTTGAGCAGAATCAAACCTGGGACCCTTCAGTGCATGAGATGATCTCCAACCAACTGAGCCACACTGTCTAGGGCAGTGATGGCGAACCTTTTGAGCTCGGCGTGTCAGCATTTTGAAAAACCCTAACCTAACTCTGGTGCCGTGTCACATATAGAAATTTTTTGATATTTGCAACCATAGTAAAACAAAGACTTATATTTTTGATATTTATTTTATATATTTAAATGCCATTTAACAAAGAAAAATCAACAAAAAAATGAGTTTGCGTGTCACCTCTGACACGCGTGTCATAGGTTCGCCATCACTGGTCTAGGGCAAGGCACTGCTCTTTTTAGCTATTGATATTTTCACTAGTTGGGGTGGCCAACCTTGTCCCCGTCAGTCCCCCCAAACAAGTCACCTGGCCAAGCCCAGTCATTGTGGGGGGGCCATACACGGTGTATGGATGCTGGGGTCCTGTACTCCAGTGGTCTCCCACAGGGGATTGAGGGTTCCCCCTCTCAGAACCTGAGTTTGCTCACCTGCCCTGAGGCTGGAGAGAGCTGGGTAAAGGGCCTGGTGTGGCATGGGCACACGAGGGGTGCCCTCAGGGGGGCCTGTGAGTGAGTCAGGGGTGAAAGCAATGAGAGCAGAGGTCCTCACACCTGAGCGTGCATCAGAACCAGCGGGAGTGCCCTAGCGGTTTGGCTCAGTGGGTAGAGCATCGGCCTGTGGACTGAAGGGTCCCAGGTTCAATTCCGGTCAAGGCACATGCCTGGGCTGCGGGCTCAATCCCCAGAAGGGGGCGTGCAGGAGGCAGCTCATCATTGATGTTTCTATCTCTCTCTCCCTCTCCCTTCCTCTCTGAAACCAATTAAAAAAGAGAGAGAGAGCACCACCGGGAATGCTATGTCACCAGATCCCTGGGCTCCACCTCAGCACCCTCATTCAGGATGCCATGTGTAGTGAGGCCCACAGACTTGCAATTCTAACAAGTTCCCAGTTGATGCTGTTAGTGCTGGATCGGGGACCTTTTGTCTTGAACCACTGGGTTAGAGCATAAATTCTGGAACCAGACAGCCTGGTTCAAATCCTGGCTCAGTTTATCAGCTGTGTGACTCAGGCCAGTCACTTACCCTCTCTGCGGCTCAGCTTCCTCACCCGTGAAATGGACGTCATAAGCATCCTTCCCCTTCATGGAGGCTGCAGATTCAGCAAGGCCGCAGGACCCGGCTAGTGACAAGCTGCCTGTACACGGGTCCATTGTGATGGCACCCCTGGCATGGCACACGTCTTACCTGTCCCCTCGCCCCCAGAGTGCGCCCCCACCCCTGTGTCCGAGTGGCCGCACCCCAGACTTGAAGGCTCTGCTCAGCGTGGTGGACAATGCCCGGAGTTTCATCTATATCGCAGTCATGAACTACCTGCCCACCATGGAGTTCTCCCACCCGCGCAGGTACTGCTGGGTGGGTGGACAGGGAGCCGCTGGAGTGGGAGAGGGAGTGAAGGGGCCCAGAAAGCAGGCAGTGGAGCCGAGGCAAGGGCACAGATGGAGGTGAAGCGATGGGGAGAGGCAGAGAAGACAGAGGTAACAGGGAGAGGGGCCTGGGTGCTCCAGACAAGGGCAGAGGGGTCAGAGAAAAGGATGAGAATATTGGAGTTAGGGGGGTGAGATGGGGACTGGAGGCCAGAGGCAGGGGGAGCAGGATTTCTGGAGTGGGAAGCAGGGAGCGTGGGCTGGAGACAGATGAGGGCTCGGGGAATGGGGGCTGAGTTTTCAGGGTTGGGGCAGCAGGGTTAGGGGGCTCAGAGCAAGTAGTAGGAGCAGCAGACAAGATGATGGAAAGGCCGGGTTTGGGGGGGGGCAGGAAGGGGAGCCAGAATCAGGGAGTAAAGGATGTGGTATTTAAGGAGGCAGGAACAGGACCGGGAGTCAGAGATGAGTGGTCTTAGGGTTTGGGGGCTCTCAGAGCTGAGGCAGGGCCCAGGCCTCGCTCCATCAAGCCAGGAGTGAGGCTTGTGGATAACGCCACCCTGTGCCCTGCACCCCCACCCCAAGGTTCTGGCCTGCCATCGATGATGGGCTGCGGCGGGCTGCCTACGAGCGGGGCATCAAGGTGCGCCTGCTGGTCAGCTGCTGGGGTCACTCTGAGCCGTCCATGCGAGCCTTCCTGCTCTCCCTGGCCGCCCTGCGTGACAACCACACCCACTCCGACATCCAGGTGGTAAGCGCCGCCACAGACCACTCCTAACCCCTGTGCTGGGCAGTGCTGGGCACAAAGTACTTGTGGAGCTCACCTGACAGACACCCCAGAGTGAACCGTGCGGTGACGGGGAGACCGTGCGTGAGGCCCAGGTTTGGGGGGGCAGGGTGGAGGGTGCGGGTGGGATGGGAGTGCCCAGAGGAAACACCTGCCCCAGCCTGAGGGGACGGAAGGCTGTCTGGAAAATGGGACATCTGAGGTGCGGCCTACGGGGCCGTTCTAGAGGAGCCCCTCTGGGAGTCACTCTAGAGGGAACGGTGGCAAATGAAGTCATTGGGCCTCCCAGCCAGCGTTGCCTGAAAGCCACCCCTCCAGACCCTGCTCTGGCCCTGTGGTTTTCACGGATTCCCCAATCCTACAGACCTGTCCCCATTCCCCACCCCACACCCGGGGGCGTCTCTAACCCACCGCACCTCCCACTGCTTTCCATTCTCCCCTCTCCCCCAGAAACTCTTTGTGGTCCCTGCGGACAAGGCGCAGGCCCGGATCCCGTATGCCCGCGTGAACCACAACAAGTACATGGTGACCGAGCGTGCCGCCTACATCGGTGAGTGTCCGAGCACCGCCGGGGGCTGGGAGGGGGTCCAGGCACTGCCACAGGCCCTGACTCTGCCCCCTGCCCTGTAGGAACCTCCAACTGGTCTGGCAGTTACTTCACAGAGACGGCGGGCACCTCGCTGCTGGTGACACAGAACGGCGAGGGCGGCCTGCGGAGCCAGCTGGAGGCTGTTTTCCTGAGGGACTGGGACTCCCCTTACAGCCACGACCTCGACGCCTCAGCCGACAGCGTGGGCAATGCCTGTCGCCTGCTCTGAGACCTGTCCCAGCAGACAGGCTGAGGCCTTCAAGGCCCCCACACACCCAGATGCCCTGGGTCGTGGTCCCTGTCCCCGTAGCCCTGCTTCTGTCTGTCCCGTTGTGGCTCCACAGACCCCTTGCTCTCCCACCTCTACCTTCACCCCCGGCAGCCTGATGCTGTGGCCCCAGATCCCAGCTGAGCTGGGGGAGGGATCAGCCCCAGAAGAAGTGGGGATGCATGCTGGGCCAGTCCCCCGGCCTCCCCCCGTTCCCAGGGCAAAGAGGGCCCAGGTTCTAATAAGAAGTAAACAACTTGTCTGTACAGTCTCTGCCTGACTGAGTGGTGTGAGGCAGGGTGTTGTTGGGATCGGGGACAGCCAGCATGGGCCTCTGGTGGGGACATGAGCATGTACACTGAGCTCTTAACATGTGCTGGAATGTACTTAGTACATAGCATGTGACTGACATGTGCTGAGTCTTCAGGGAGTGGCCTGCCATTGCTGAGCATACAGCATGTGGCCCACTAGTTTAGCATGTGCTGAGCTCTCAGCGTGTAACCACACAGGCTGGCATGTGTAACTGGCATGGGCTGGCATGTGCTGAGCATGCAGTGTATGACGGCATGCTTGGTGCATGCTGAGCGTCCTGTAGCCAGCACGGGTTAGTGTGTGCCACACACTGGGCGTGCTCCCAGCAGATGAACCATCGCCATAGCCCGAGGACGGACTCGAATGTCTGAACACTGGCGCATGCACCAAGTGTGAATTGGCACCAGCCAAGTGCATGGCCAGCCTGTAGTGACAAGGACAGGTAAACACACAATGAGACCTTGGCATCTGGCAAGCTTGGATGGGCACCTGCCGGACACAGTGTTCTGAGTGTGGTTCTCGTGTGCTTGTGTGCCAGGCACTGTGCATATTTAGAGATTGGGTCAGTGTGCCAAGCACAGCCTGTCCCAGTGTCCTGGGAGCCCAGCCTCCAGCCTGAGCCAATGGCCAACTGGGTGCAGCATCAGAGCAGGCCTGGGCACTAGCCTGAACCCCCCTCCCCCCTCCCCAGCATGAGGACAGGCATGAGGCAGGGCTGTGAACAGTTCTTTATTGAAATAGGCAGAGACAGCAGGGCCAAGAACGTGCTCAGGGCCAACAGGGTGCAGCCACCTCTCTGTGCCCCTCTGATCGAGGTGGTCACAGGCCAGACACCAAGGCCCTCCTGTGTTTGGGGGTATGTGCAGGCATGCACTGTGGGTGGGGGAATGGGAATTTCTGGATAACTGTTTCTGTAAGAATTTGTGGGTTCAGGGGATGGCTCTGAGGAAGGGATGCCAGCCCAGCTAGCTCAGCCACCAGTGATGGGTGTAGGTGGGGTCACCATCAATGCTGCCCGCCGACATGCTGCAGAAAGCTGGTGGCCCGGGGTGGACCATGTGGGTGGGCATGGCGGGGTGGGAGCCCCTGAGCCCGTGGGCCCCTGATGCCCTCCAGGGCCCAGTCTGGCTCACTAAGCCATTCTCCAGGACAGGTGCTGGGGTCGAAGAGCTCAGGGCTCGGCCTCTGTGGGGTAGAAGAGAGGGCATCAGCCAAGAAGCCACCATCCTGCCCCTCATGGACGCCCTCCTGTCCCACCTGACCCCTTGTCACTTCCTGAAGACGATTCTATGCCGTTGCAACCCTGATACATCCTGGGGCTTCGATAGTGTGTGCTGAGACCAGTGTGCCCTGAGGGGGTGTTAGTGTCTGCTGGGGCTTTGTCACATCTTCCCAGGGTGGGTGAGCATGTGCGGGGCCTTCGTCACTTCCTCCAGGTGGATGACTGTGCCCTGAGTTTTTACACAGCCTGACGGCGTGTTAGTATGTGCAGAGCCTCGCCCATCCTAGTTGTGTCCTGAGTGTGGGTTAGCGTGTGGAGCCTGGTAATGTTCCGAGGTTGGGCTAGTGTGTGTTGGACTCTGAACCAGCTGTTGGCAACACATGTGTGGGGAGCCAAGGCCAGGTTCACACCCCCGCCCCCCGAAGCTCTGTGGGCACCCCTGACCCCAGCCACCTGCACCCTCCCTGCCCACCTGACTCACCTCAGCATCCATAGTCATGTCCTTGACGTCTGGCCCGTCCCCGTCCCGCTTCGGGATGGTGGGCGGCTTTGCGGAGGCTCCGCGGTGCTCTCCCTCTGCCCAGCCGCTGCCCCGGCAGGGCCCCTCCTCCTCGGGCGAGGCCTGGCTCAGCCGGATGAGGTTGCTGAAGTTGGAGTCGGACTTGGAGCCTGTGGGCGGCTTGCGGGCCTTGTGGCGGCCAACTAGCCGGCTGCCGTAGAAGGCCAGGATGGGCTCGGGGCCCGAGTCGGGCACCCGGAGGCCAGCCACAGCTGCCTTGAGTGGGGCCAGCGCACTGGGGGTCTCGCCCCACAGCCCATGGCCCGCCTCCTGCAGGCTCAGGTCATCCAGCTGGTCAATGGCCCTCTGCATGCCCGGTGCCTTCTCCTCACGGAAGAAGGGCCCACTGCCCGCCACGCTGCCGAGACCCACGGCCTCCTCCTCCTCAGCCAGGCGGTAGTAGGGGGGCCCCTCCTCCGAAGCAGCCACCACAGGCGCGGGGGGCTTGCCCTCCACCTGCAGCGAGAGGCGGCAGCTGCGCAGCGACAGCTGGTAGTAGCGGGTGGTCTCGTGGGCACTGCGCAGCTGCTGCATGGACACGAAGGGGTGGCGCAGGGCGGCACTGGGGCTGATGCGCTCGTGCGACTCCCAGGTCAGCATGCGCTTAATCAGCTCCACCATGCTCTTGAGGTCAGCGTGCTCGGCCAGCGCCTCCCGATCCTGGAAGGTTAGCCGTCCAGCTGCCCCGCTGCCATTCACCGTCTCAATCTGGTCCAGTGACTTGAGCATGTACTTGCGGCGCTCCAGTGGGCGTACCTGGTGGGACACAGTGGGCGGGTGGGACACAGTGAGCGGGTGGGACACAGTGGGCGGGTGGGACACAGTGGGCGGGGGTTGACACCGCACCGAGGCCTTGGGCCCGTCACTCCTGTAACTTCCAGCAGGCCCTGCAGTCTGGCCCAGAGCTCTCCTGTTGCTATGAAGTCCACACATCTGAATCCTGATTCCAGTTCTGCCTGTGATCTGACTTGAAGCCCTCTTGCTGCTGGGAGGGCCAAACCTGGTCCCTCTAGTCCAGTGGTTCTCAACCTTCTGGCCCTTTAAATACAGTTCCTCATGTTGTGACCCAACCATAAAATTATTTTCGTTGCTACTTCATAACTGTAATGTTGCTACTGTTATGAATCGTCATGTAAATATCTGATATGCAGGATGGTCTTAGGCGACCCCTGTGAAAGGGTCGTTCGACCGCCAAAGGGGTCGCGACCCACAGGTTGAGAACCGCTGTGTCTAGTCGACTCTAGAGCCCTGTTCCTGCTGGAAGTGGCCTTGCCTGTGTGTTTTGGTCCTCCTGACATCTAACCCAGAGTTATCACTCACTCAAGTTTCACACCTCACCCCAGACCTCCAGTCCTCACCGGAGCTGTGGGCCCAGCCCCTTCCAGCGAGCAGCTAGCAGAGCAACTGCCCTAAGCCTCTAGTCCTCCTTGGAATCAAACCCAGGTCCCTTTTGCTGCTACAGCTTCCACACTCCATCCCAGGCCTCCGGGCCTCCCAGTGGTTGAACCTCCTTGCCACACTAGTTTGGCAACCCCCAGGCAAGAAGCCCTTAGAGGAGCTGCCACATCTTTCAGTCTCATCTTTGGTCTCACGCAGACCTCTCATGTGACAGGTCCTGCAGCTGAGCCAAACTTCCAGTCCTCTGCTGTCTCACCCGGACTCCGCACAGGTGCGTGACTGTAGCTGCAGAGGTGGCAGACAGGCTGCCGTCAACGTCCAGTCCCACCTGGGCCTCATTTACATCCCTCACACTGCACGCGTTTGCCTGACCCCAGATCCGCAGCTGGCAGAGGGGCTACCCCACCCTTTCTGTCACACTGTGGTATAACCCAGACCCCTCTTACTGCAGGGCCCCCAGAGTGACCCTCAAACTTCCAGTCCCACTGTTGGTCTCATCCAGATCTCTCTTGTGACAATCCTCACAGCTGAGCCAAGCTTCCAGACCTCCCTGCGGCTAACCTAGGAGGTAAATGCTCTTCTCGTCTCATTTTCTAGGTGAGGAAACTGAGGCACAGAGAGGTCAAAGACACTTGCCCAAAGTCACACACCTTGGAAGACGGAGCGCAGAGCTCAGATTCAGACCCTTACTAAATACAGGCACTTTCTAAAGTGCTTTATATGTGTTAACTCTTTTTTAAAGTATATTTTTATTGACTTCAGAGAGGAAGGGAGAAGGAGAGAGAGATTGGAACATCAGTGATGAGAGAGAATCATTGATCGGCTGCCTCCTGCCTGGCCCCTACTGGGGACCGAGCTCAAAACCTGGGTATGTGCCCTGACGGCCCTAACCGGGAATCGAACCGTGACTTCCTGGTTCATAGGTCGGTGCTCAACCACTGAGCCATGCTGGCTGGGCTAGATTTCTTTTCTTTATGCGGCAGCCCCCACACTGCTTGCCCTCATTGCACCTGCCCCCCTACCTTGGTCTCAGCCAGGTAGTCAGCCGAAGACTTGAGCTGCCAGGGGTTGGTGGCATCAGGGTGGAGGTTGCGCTTGAAGAAGTGGTGGGCCTTGCGGGCGGCGTGCAGCAGGTGGGGCTTGGGCAGGCCCTGGGTCTCACAGATGTAGCGCACCTGGTCATACTCGTTGTTGCCAGGGTAGAGCGGCCAGCCCAGGTGCAGCTCGGCCATGACACACCCCAGTGACCACACGTCCACCTTCTCACAGAAGGGCAGCCCCAGCAGAATCTCGGGGGCCCTATAGAAGCGCGACTGGATGTACGGCTCCTTCACGTAGCGCACCTCGCTGAAAATGCTGGCTGAGCCAAAGTCGATCACCTGTGTGGAAAGGGCGCCCAGTGGGCAAGGCATGGGTGGGGACAGCAGATCTGGGCCTCAGCTGGCGTCTCTCCCAGTGTCTGTCTGCTTCTGCCATCTGTCTGTCGCTGTCTGTTAGTCTGACCGCTTATGTCGCTGCCTGCCTCCTGCAGCCTGTCGCTGCTTTGTGCGTCGGTATCTGTTTCTGTTTCTCTCCACTAGAATGGATGCCTGTGAGCATTAAACCCCTCTCGTGCTCTCTCACCCCACACCTTGTCCATCAGCGAGTCTTGTTGGTTCCACCTTCTGAACAGATGAAGCATCTGCTCACTGTGCATCGAAGCCACAGCCCCGCCGGGTCCTGCCTCCATCATTTCCTGCCTAGACAGCTCTCCCTGCTCCCGCCTCTGCCCCCCAGTGTGTTCCTCACGTGTGCTCTGAGAGATCCTGTGAACACCTGATCGGGTCACATACCTCCCGGCTCAGCATCCTCTTGTGGCTTTACTACATCCTGTGATAAAAGCCAAAGTCCTCACCACAGGCCCGAAGGCTCCTACAATCTGCCCGTCCCATCTCTGCCCTCAGCTCCTCCCACCTTCCCCCTCACTAACCTGCTCCAGCCCCAGGAGCCTCTCACTGCTCCTGAATAAGCCGGATATATTCCCAGCTCAGGCCTTCGCAGGGCTGTTTCTTCTGCCTGGAATGCTCTCTCCTTGGTGTCCACGTCGCTCACCCTCACTTCCTCAGGTCTTTACTCCAGTCACCTTCTCAGGGAGGCCTCCCCGCACCATCCTATCAAACACCAGTCCCCTCCCCCTCCTACTCCCCTTCCTGGCCTCTGCTTTTCTCCATAGCTCTTAACACCATTTCACAAACTATATGTTTTATATTTTTATTGAGTTCATTGTTTTTCTAACCAACTAGGATTTGAGTCCCATGAGGGCAGGATTTTGTCTGTTCACTGCTGAGTCCCCAGATGCCTTGAACAGCGACTGGCACAGAGCAGGAGCTTAGAATGAATGAATGAATGAATGAATGAATGAATTTTTAATCTATCATTGTCTTTCTGTCTCACTTGTATCTCTTGTTCTTTCTTTGCCGCTTCATGGCTTGTCTGTGTCTCTCCCCTCTGTGTCTCTCTCCACGCGTCTCTAAGTCACCCCCTAGAAAGACACCTCCCAGCAGCCCAGGTCCTCCTCCTTATCAAGCACTGTTACACCCACACAGGTCTGACATTCAGGTAGCACTGACTCCACAGCAGCGCTGTGCTGGGGGTGCCAAGGGCACAGTGGTGACCAAAATTGCCTTGGCCCTGCTCTCACGGCGCTCCTAGCTCCTATCATCAGGGGACAATAACAAACCCAGAAACAGACACAAGGGCAGGGGTGGGATGGGGAGCCCAGGAGCTCTGACGGGGTCGGTCGGGGTGGGATGGGGGAGCCCAGGAGCTCTGACAGGGTCAGGGTGGGATGGGGAGCCCAGAGCCCAGGAGCTCTGACGGGGTCGGGGTGGGATGGGGGAGTCGGGGTGGGATGGGGGAGCCCAGGAGCTTGCACCAGCACGGGGTCAGGCCCGGAGCAGACATTCAGAAAGTGTTTGTTGACAGGCAAGCTCACTGTGACGAGGTATGGCACTGCCATCCTCCAGTTGCTCAGGCCAACAGGCTTTTGTGCCCCCCCCCCCCCAGTCCTCTCTGACACTTCATATAAGACCCATCAGCAAGCCCTGTTGTCTCCATTTCCAAAATCTATTCAGACCCACCCGTGCCCCTCCTCCCTCCCACTACCCCCCCCAAGTCTAGTCCCGCCCAGCCATGTCTCCCACCTGGACTGGGGCAGTCGCCCCTCACTGTCTTCCTGCTCCTCACAACCAGAGCGCCCAGGGCTGGGGAAGGCTGGGAGGGGACAACAGGAGATGCTGCCACCCAGGGCGGCCCCTCACCTTGACCCTGAAGGGGCAGCGGGTCTGGTCCACCAGCATGATGTTCTCAGGCTTGAGATCGGCGTGGATGATGGCCAGCTCCTTGAGCCGGGCCAGGGCTCTGAGCACCTGCAGGGTGACCGTGCGGATGTGCCGGGCAGGAAGCGGCGCAAAGTTGTTCTCCTTCTGAAATTCAAAAAGGTTTTGCTCCAGCAGCTCAAAAACCAGGTAGAACTTGAGGGCGTCGTGGAAGAACTCGAGGAAGCGGATGACGTGGGCCTCCTCGGGGTCCAGGCCCCTCATGCAGCGCAGCAGCTTCAGCTCGTTCTTGATGATGCGGTTGCGGTAGGCATCGTTCTTGAGGATCTTGATGGCCACCATCTCGCCCGTGCTTCGCCGCCAGCCCTTGGCCACCTCCCCGAAGGTGCCCTTGCCCAGCACCTCGATGATGTCGTAACAGTCAGTCTCTGACTGGATGGTGGCCATGGTGCCCCGGCCGCCAGACACCACCCTGCCACCACCTCTGCCCCACCTCTGTCTTGAAGGCCTCCTGGCCCTCCTCTGCCCCTGTCCCCGAGGCACCCCCAGTGGGGGAAAGAGAACGTCACTCGTGCCTACTACCCCTGTGAGGTTTGCCCTCGCCTCCCGGCACCTCACAAACCCCCTGGGCCACACGGGGAATATGCCAAGAGTTGCACCCTCCCCCAAAGCCCTCCTGGCTTGGGACGAGGGGCCCCAGGCCCCCCCAAATGGGTTCCAGCGTTGCTAAGTGGCTCCGGTTCTGTTGTTGGAGACCTGAGCCCCTCGCTGGAATGGGGGGTGGGGTGGCAGTTCAAACCCCCTCCCCCACCCAGTGGCGGAATCTTGAAGAGGTTGGACAAGTAACGGATCCATTGAGAGGGGGGTCTGATGGTGGACCTCAGGCGGAAGCAAGGAACATTCCCAAACAGGTGAGAAAGGCAGCTTTTCCTAGCGAAAGGGGTGTGTGTGTGTGTGTGTGTGTGTGTGTGTGTGTGTGTGTTTTCAGAAAATACCTGCCCCAGCCTGTGGCTGACATGGGGGAAGGTGTGGCCAAGGTGGATTCAGGTTGAGTGCCAAGCTAAGGAGTTTTTGGACATTGTTCTGAGGGCACTGGGGAGACACAGAAGGGCTTTTGAGTGTCAGAAAGCTACTTGTGTGAAGAAAGCTGAAGCAGAAGGGGCCAGAGTGGAGGCCCTGAGCCTGGAGCAGGCCCAGGCGGGAGAGGTTGGGGAGACAGGCAAGAGGCTTGTGGATGAGACATTCAGGAGGCCAGGAGGCCAGGCTTAAGGGACTGAAAAGTTTGGAGGGGGGGAGGTGTCCCAGAAATGGGGACATGGACAGAAGCACTTTGGAGGAGAGGATGCTAAGACCAGGTTAGGGAATTTAATATTGAGTGCTTTAGAAGCCTTATCCTTACAACACACGTTTTATTTTTTGTTTGTTTGTTTGTTTGTTTTGATTGATTTCAGAGAGGAAGGGACGGGGAGAGAGAGACAGAAACATCAATGATGAGAATCATCCATTGGCTGCTGCCTGCACGTCCCCCACTGGGGATCGAGCCCAAAACCCAGGCATGTACCCTGACCAGAAATTGAACCAGGACCTTCTGGTTCATGGGTCAGTGCTCAACTACTGAGCCACGCTGGCTGGGCACACCATACATTTTAATAGCTCCATTTAATTGAAAAAAAAGTTGGGTGCCAGAGACAGGCTTTGACCTTGAGAAGTATGGCTCTAGAGCAGCCGTGGGCAAACTACGGCCCGCGGGGCCGGATCTGGCCTGTCTGAATGAATAAAACTAAAAAAAAAAAAAGACCGTACCCTTTTATGTCATGATGTTTACTTTGAATTTATATTAGTTCACACAAACACTCCATCCATGCTTTTGTTCCAGCCCTCCGGTCCAGTTTAAGAACCCATTGTGGCCCTCGAGTCAAAAAGTTTGCCCACCCCTGCTCTAGAGCCAAGCTCTGAACCACCACCCCACACATCCTCCAAGTGCTCAGGAGATGTCCAGGGAGGCATGTGGAGGCCAGTGGATCCCCTCATGCACCCAGGAAAGAATTTGGGAACTGTCACCCAGAGGTGAGGAGCAGAAGCCTCCGGGAGGGTGACAGGCCTAGGATGGGTGTGGGAGTGGATGAGCCCAAAGGGCACAAGGAGAGAGAGGAGTGGAGAAGAGAGGGGAGTGTTCAGGAAGGAGGAAGGGGCCTGAGAAGTCAGGACAAGGGAGACAGAGGAAGCCCTTAGTGTGATCACAGAGAAGTCACTTCGGACACTGGACGGGGTAGCCATTGTGGGAGGAAAACCCCACATGCTACAGAGCTGAGCTGGTCAAGGGGTGTGTGTGCCATGAGGGCAGATACCCCCTGCATGTTTGGTGGAGACAAAGAGAAAGCATGAGACAGGGTAGTGACCTGAGGGGGGCGGGCTTGAAGGGAGAAGGTACTGGAGTAAGTGGGGGGTCTGTGACAACTCAAGGGCATGGCCCTTCATCCTCTGGGATGGGAATAGAGTGGAGGGGTGGGTATGGGGGCATCAGGGGAGATTTGGAATGGGAAAGCAGGTCTTCCTAGTAGTCTAGGCATGGCAGAGGGATGGGGGGAGGCGGTGTCTGTAGGCCCTGGCAGGAGCTTAGGGGCATAAATCCAGAGTGAGGTTGGGTCCCTGGGAGCCGAGATTGAGCCCCCAGGACTTAGTCCTACGAGGCAACCACATGTCTTGAGTGGAGGCTCTGAACCCAGGAGCTTGGAGAGGCCAGGAGAGGCCTTCCTGGGTGGGGCCGGGTGGACCAGGCTGTCAAACCAGCCAGACAGAAAAGGCACAGCCAGGATGCAGAGGCGCTCTTGTTGGTGGAGAAGTGGCCAGCAGAGGGCAGGTGGGTAGCAATCAGTCTGCTCTCTTAGGGCCCCTGGGGCTGTCCTGGCCAGTGCGAGGGGGGGGGGGGGGTTCCCCAGGGCAGGCGGAGTCCCCAGAAGAGGGGTCCTGCTGCTATGTTCTGCTGGGGAACTTCCCAGAGTCCTGCTCAGGGGTCCCTGGGATTTCTGAAGGGCTAGG